TGCACAGATGCTAATGGATACTACTGAATAACAGAAGAAAGGAAAAAATGGCTCTGCTCAACATTGCCACCTATCCCACCAGGCCAACTCAAACCAAAAGGATCAACCCGCATGCCTGAATGTTCACCCTGACCCTGGCAGCACTGCCTGTCCTCATTTCACATCTGGTGAAACCTCCAGAAGAAATGATGATCTATCGTGTCATCAGCCTTGATATGGCCCTCACCCCTATAGGTCACAGGAGCTGAGTGTTTAGGGTGCTGTTTGGAGAACATGTAAAGATGGACAAGCATACAGTCATTTAAATTCTGGTCTGTCTGGGGCTTTTCAAGGGACCCAGCTAAGGTAGGATTCCCTCCTTAAATCCAGTTGCAAATACAGTCTAGGCAGAAAGTAAGTGCTTATCTCCTCATAATAAGTATCCAGGAAGTTTTCAGGCTAGGAAAGGTTTACTAGGTTGTGCAGTCCTCTAAAGTAAATTTGCTGGATTGCTGTCTGGGTCGGTGAGCTTTTAGCCTCTAAAGATTTCAGTGCACTGGATTTTACCTTGGGTCCCAGCATCTGAACTCCAGCCAGTTGCTTAAGGTCGAGGAAAATAAATCCCCTGACAGAGGGAAGGGGTGACCTCAATCAAATTAAGATTCAGTAAACCCAAGATGAGTTTTTCAATTTAACCTTACAGTTCAGACAATTCCATTTATGTTTATCAATTCTGATTTAATTTCTGGACCAGAAAAGGTCTAGTTAATTACACCCAGCACACACGAAAAGTATTTCTGATAGTATTGTTCTGTTGCTTATTCTGTAAGTCATATACTATACCAATCTATAGTTCTATATTATTATTCTAAGGACAGAAATAGGCCTTCCCAGCAAATATTTCCAATTTCATATAGGAATCTGTTCTCCTGTTACAGAATAATTACATTTACAACTTCTTCAACTGAACAAGAAAAGTTCCAGCTTTACAAATATATCAAGTTCCGTAAATCTTAATTCTGCTCCTTTAAAAAAAAAAAAAAAAAGAGAAAAAGAATAAAGGAACATACACCAGAAGGTAAGACATTTCATAACTGAAAAGAAATCAAACGTCATGTACACACGGCGCTGCCTCCATATGGAAACGCATACATAGGGCACTGTCTCCATATGGAAAGGCATTAAGGCTTCTTGAAAGGCTGTCTTCTCCACATAACTCTGAAAGGCCATGAAACACATGCATTAATGCAAGTAACATTCTTGTTTGAGTTCAAGGCATATAAAAACTTTGCATATAGACATCCACACTTAACTAATAAAGGGAGGGGATCAGAAAACTTGGGGTGACTGGAGGCTATGAATCTCTTGGACAGAAGAGATGGGGGAAGGAGCCTCCAGTCTCCAGGAGGTAACTAGCACCAGTGACTCAGCTGCAAGCTAGAAAATGTTAAGCACAGAAGAGAAATCCATATTAATACTATGGTATCTCAAAGAGAAGCTCTAAAGCTTTTCCTACCCCCGTAAGCAAAGCAATAGCTCCTTCATCCTCCATCATGTGTATTTCCAGGACACACAGTTTCAGCCTTTTGGCATCAACATAGGAATCCATCCCATTTGACATATAGTGACAGCACGAATGTGCCAATACTGCAGACCAAAGGCTTGGTCTTAGGAGATGCGAGGTTTTTTTTCCCACTGACCGCAAAGGAACTTGAAGGTACTCAGCACCTGGTAGCATCAGGGTCACTAAGCAGTGAGATGGAAGGTTTGTCTCTGAGGTACCCTCAGTAAGATCTCCCACAGAGCCTTAACTTTGGACAGCTTTTCAGTTTTAGCACAAATGAAGGATCTTCTATAGTGCTCTTTATGGATGTGTTTTAAAAGTAAATATAACTCAGTACCTGAGGCAGCTCCCATTTCATGCTGTGCCTCGAGGCTGCCTGAGGTAGGTTTAGTTGGGGCATCTAAAAGCTGGGAAGATCTCACTTTTAAGCATTCTGATCTATAGAGGCTGATTAAGATTCCATTGTAGCTCATAAACTTCTCACAAACTGGAGGTAATTCTTCACGGCTGCAGCTAAACTACCTTGTGTAGGAAGCTCCAGACGAAGAATATCTACCCAGCAAATTATCAGAACTGTTGTGGCAAATTACCTGAACGGTATCAGGTACTTTCCAAAGGGCACTTACAAACCCAGGGAAAGTAGGTAGATCCAGACTACTGTATCACTGAGTACAATGAAACTGTAGGAATTTGAACCTACAAGTTAGGTTTTGGTTTGCACACACCAGTGTCTGAGACTAGGGTTTGTCCTTGTTTCCCCCTTTGGAGTCTAGATTTTAATTAGAAAAATTAACTGTAGAGAACAGTCATTAACTCTGTAAAATATCACTATCCCTATATTTAGGCTCAAGATTTTTTGCTGTCTTCATGGTAATTATCTTGCACAAATTTGGCTAGAACTTCTCCCTTCTGTTCTGATATAAACCCCTATTAACCTATTGGTCAGATCCTAAAGCCACACTACACAGATATCCAAGTTGCCCCTATACCGATGTTTTAAGTACATTTTTATAATCATCTATAACCATGTAAGCATTTGGACACTCTTACATTTCAGAAGACATTAATAAGGAAAGCTCTACATAAATACTCAACAGTTATTAATAGTCTGTCCTCAAAACTCCTTTTGCCAAGTACAGGAGTCCCACTACCCACTCTCAACAGACAGGCGATTAAACAAATCCAAGTGAACAAGCCACAGAAATCCTGTTTAACTGCATAGCCTCCTGAGATCTCACAGGCATCTTATTTTACATCAGGAAACCAAACCAGCATCTAGAGGTCTCTAGACAGCATATATCTGAAGTCACCACCATGATGCCTCAGCAGAACGAGCTAGTGCCTATGCAGGCAATAATTCAGACTCATATGCTTATATGCCCAAAGACGTGTAATTCATTAGCTTGCTCTAAGGTTACCTACTATGCCCCAAAGGTGCCATGCTCAGTCCAGCTGAAAAGACAGAGCCACTTTATTTCAAAGGAAGAAAAGACTTGGCCACTATCCATCCTTAATATATAGGCAAGTATTACATATTTAACATAAAGTAATGATTAAGGCATTAAACCAGAAACTGGAAGAGTTGGGTCTAACTGAACACCTTGAGAACATTGAGCAGACATCCCCCCAGCCCCATCCCAGCTGAAACTCTTTAGGCTTCTGACACAGAAAAGGTAATGGAAGCTACTACCTACCTAATTCTGTGAAATGTCTACCACTCTTACTAAACCTGAATTATTAAAGAGACCAGTAAGACACCAGGGGTGAACACCCTGGACCTGCATGGCACTAGTAGGTAGAACCTCCCCAGAACTGCAAGGGAGAGCTGCAGGTTTCAACTGGCCCCTTGTGTCTATATTACTGACCTGGTGTTCTGCGTACTACATCAGAGAGGAGACTTTCAGGATGCCCAGATACTTCACAATTCAGCTCTCCTGGCATCCGCCTGTTTCACAGGTAATCACATTATCCACCAAGAAGGGCTCAGTTTGCCAGTGTCCTCCTGCCTTGACACTGTTCTTGCTTGCATTACCGTGCTATGACAGGTAAATACCTGCAAGGTTCAGTAAAAGCAGGAGGGAACTAAAGGCCCTCCAGGAGGGCCAGGCAAATGGAAAAGTGCAGTTATCAGTGTTGCAGTGACAGGCACTGGGTTTATTTTAAAGGGCTTCTAAAGTCTTATGCTGTCAGCAGATCTGTCAGGCTTGCAAGGCCATGCTGTACTGACTGTAATTCCCCACTGAAGATGTGCAAAGATGCAGTAACAAGTAAGGGTTCAAATGTGATATATTTTCCCCTTCCGCACTACTGGAGGAAATACATGATCATTACGATGATAAGGGATATAAACCCATCATGTGCTCAGGCTTCAGAAATCTCCACGGTGATGTAAGAACTCCACAGATAAAACCATGTACATCTCACACACACTCAGAGCTCCAGCATGTACTTCCTGAGACACACTGGTACCCGGTTCCTGCCACAGAACAGAAATTTCCTCTTGCCTTCGTCACTGTCAAAGCTATCCATTCCCTCACTCCATAAGCAGCATGTACGATCCTGTCCAGTGACCACAGTGCCCACAAGGCTCAGTCACAGCTTCTGCTGAATGGCATTTCCTGTGAAATGGTCTTAATACAAATATATGCAAAGAAAATGGGGAGCCCTTAAAAACCTTTTGTGTCTGTTTGAGGATGAGGTACTCCAGTCCTTGCCCAGCAGCAACCTAGGACCCCTGGACACTGCTCTAGTGACACCACACCTGCAAAGGAGCGTGGATCTGCAAAGCCTCCTGACCACCACCAAGATCCTATGACAGCATGGTGCATCAGCTTTATTTTGCAACTTCAAGTTCCCCTGTTTCTCCAATCCTTTCAAACTCCTGTTTTTTGTTTTTTAAACAGTTCTTCCCATTTTTTTCACATCTGTCTTTCTGATGCAGCCAGGTGCAGACTACTGCTGTCTGAAGAAGACCTGGAGAAAACAGGCTGTTTTTCTGACAATTGCCATGAAAACAGCAGCTTTATTTGAAAACGGACAGCAGCTTTATTAAGTTAACCAATGTCAAAGTTCCCTATGTCTGCCCATTCAAAACATTTTTAGTAGAAAAATTCTTGTTTGAACTCTGTAGTTACAACTTAGGGAAGTTTGATCCATCCCAAGGGTTGTGGGGAATTGTTCAGCACTCAGCACAAGCAGCAGCAGCAAAAGTTCCAGATGCCTCCCAAGTCCACTGGTTTGCCCAGAAAACACCAGTCACACATTTGCCAGCATTTGCCTCTCTCCTCATTACAGCAGCTTCCTCATTTGTCTCTGTAAAAAACTTAACAGTTCACCCTGTAACTGTCCCCAAACCCTTAACAAGGGGCATTTAAACTCCATAGGACGGCTGAGGCAGTCGTAAGCCTACAAGTCTTCCCAAAGGACACTGAGTACAGGGAACAGTAATACACTGTACAGTGAAAGAAAACAAACCTTTATTTGTTATCACATTTGTTTCCTGGTTTGACAAGTGCAAGGCAACTGCATTATACAGAAAAGCTGCTGGCAAGGAGTAGACCAGAAAGCCAACCAATACCTAACTCCGTGGATTACCTACTACAACAGGACACTGATAAACAAACAGAGAAAACATTTCAAACTGGGACAGCTGCTCTTGTTGCACCCAGCACACTCAGAGTCCACAAGTAGAATTGCCCCGTACACAAATGTTCATACAGGGTACCCTTGTTCACTAGGACCAGAGGAAATTAGGCACAGTCTTGCCATCAAAGACTGGGAAGATGGCCATGCTTGGGAAGCAAGGACAATTACATGTACCAAGGGACACTCTTTAGGCTTTATCCCTCTGGCTGATGACAGAGAGAAAAAGAACAAAAATATTCCATGTTCTTAAAGGCAACCCGATTAAAAAACCCACATCTACAGCATCAGCATATCTTGAAATACACTAAAAATGTGAACACTTCTAGTCTTCTCTGCCCTATAATAATGGTTCATCAGTCTGTCCACTTCCTTATTAAATTAATATGTCACCAACTTTAATTAGAATTACCAGGCTGTGACAGGGCTTCTCCTCTAAATGCCAAAGGCAACAATAGCAATAAAAAACATTAAAAAAAAAGAGAGAACATGTGACCTTCAGTCCCACCAAAGACTATGAACATTCCACTGCTGATACCAGTTAGTTGTTACATGCCTCCTCCAAAGCTGCATCATCCATCAACCCAGCCATTGGAGCAGACTTCCTAGACTCGAGAATACTGCTGGCTCACAAGTGAGTCAGCAGACCAGGCACTGTAAACACTTTCTCTGCTTGGAAGGGGTGTGGGATGCCTGGCTGTCTCCATGTGATAGGTGGTTATGGAGTTTCCCAGGAAACTGGCAGCCAAGCTCTCAAGTCTGGAATGAGAAGTTCCAGGAACTCCTCATGCCTCACCAGGTTCTTCTACTTTATGAGCTCCCAGCTGCTCCAAGCCTCCACTCTACATGGTCCTGCTGCAGCTATGCTTCCTGCTCACATCCACCCTCTTGGTAAACCTTTTTATGGCCTGGTGTCTATTGCACAGGTCTGCTGGAGCCAGGAGATCTGGAATGTTACACAGTGCACCTTCTGCAACCTGGGCTTCTGCTGGAATGGCAGTGGGACACCGGAAAATCCACTGCACAGAGCCACTCTGCCTGATGACTCTGTAAAGAAAGCAAGGGACAAGGATGTCACTCCTGACTGCTCTGATCAGAGGGGTCAGACTCTCACTCAGGAATAGCCCAGTAGATACTAGACAGTCTGAACAACCTGCTCTTCCTCTGAGAAAAACAAACTTGTAAGGTGCTAGGTCCAAACCTCACAAAGTTCTCTGAGCACAGCCTGTCTTTGTCCCTGCTTTGCTTTATGTGACTACAGCCTCAGAGCTGCTCCCTTTAAAACTACCTAAACATACCTCAACTTACCCTCCCTCTCCCAAACATGAGACCCAAAACTAGACTTACCAATGTCTGAATCCTGCTTGTTGTCCAGTAGGAGGAAGAAAGAACTTTCTTTTGCAGGATCTGGGCTGGGTGCCTGGAACAAGCCCTCCTCCGTATCAGCTGGCAGATTCATACAATTCAGAGGGCTCACAGCCAACTGTCAAGTGGTGATGGTCTGAAGATGAATAGTTGAGTCCTGTCTGTGAGCTGGAGCCTGCTGGCAGGAGGAGGAAGAGGAGGACTGGGTGTCCCAGTGCAAAGACTAGAGGCTGGAGTGTTTTAGGCATGAGTGGTGCCTGTTTCAGGATGAGGGTGATGGCTACAAAGATCTGACAGTGTTTCTGGAGACAGGTTGGTCCCTCACACTGATGGTATGATCTTGACTAGTCCACATCTAGCTTACCAAAGCTTAATAAAGGTGAGAGCAGGCCTGAACCAATGCGGGCATACCAGATGTTTCAGTTCTGTCCTCTCCAGAGAGTTGTTCTTCACCCCACAGAGAGCCTGACATAAAACTGAATGGCAAAAACAAGTCCTACAAAATCTCATACTCAGTGTACAAGCAGTAATCACCCATGAGCAAGGGCAGCTGTACTTAACCATGCTGTAACCTCCTCTTGTTTTTCTGCCCTAATGAAGCACTGGTGACCAATACGATGGAATATTCCTAGGCAATGAGTTCATTACACAAGTGAGGCTTTGGCAAAGTTGTAGTGCCAGGTGTATTCTTCCCATATGAAGAACAGATACTGATATCCCCTGGGACCAGTTGATCACCTGTGCCAAGAGAGGTCCTGAAGAAGACCAACAACATAATGTAAAGATACATGTGGGGGTGATGGCATCAGTCTTTCAGTCTCATGGAAACCAGGCTCTTCCAGGCAATTCTGATCATTCAGACCTTTTACCTGGTCCTCAGAGCTGACTTCTGGCACTCCAGCTGGGATTTCTAATGGCTCAGAGAGTTTGGATAATCAGAGGGTTTGGGTCTTAAAGGCAACTCTGCAGCTTTCGTGCAGAACAGCACAGACAAATACACTGCTCTATGTTCTTCACAAAGCCACAACAGAGGCATGTCCCTCCCCTGCAGTGCTTGCACACCTTTTGAATTCCTGTATACAAGTGCCAGAATCTGAGACTGTTTTCATTAACTTCTGCTTCTATTTCTAAACTTTTTAAATGGCTAATCGCAGCTGTCTTTGCTGCTGAATGAACATTTACCGCCTCGTTGTAGCCTTTAGAAATAGATTTATCATGCAAGTGCTGGTAGAACATTAAGTATAGCTGAAATAATGTGCATATATAACAATAATAGCCTTCCCTAAGAGATATTATGCCATAGTTGGTCACAACAGTCCAAAAATAGAATGATTGTTCTCAAATCAGTAGCACACCCCACTCGTGTTGCTCATCTCTCATCACAAGGACACTTCTGTTTTGTGCAGCTGGGCTCTTACTTGTCTAGATTTGACTTGTCACATGCTATGTTGTTAGTGTGTTTACTGCAATCTTTTTTTGTTTGCTTATTTGCATCATTCATTTTGTCATATTTTTCCATTATTTATACCTAAAATGTCTATCGCACCAAATTGCATTAATTTCCTGTATCACCTGGGATTCTGCTTTTAACAGTGACCAACAGGGATTTTTAGATTAAAGCAATTAAAAATATATATGTCTAGCTACTACTGCAATGCAGGTGCAGAGAGAGCAGTAGGAATTCTCTCCAGACACTATCCATGTAGTCAGCTTACACAGCAACTAACTGGCTGCTCCTCCATCACCTTCACTTGATAAGTATTTTCTTCACATTTTACAGAATATAAACCCCCGTCTTTTGAAGCACAAATACAAAGCTTCTATGGATAACTTCATACTGCAGCGAGTTTCACTTTATGGGACTAAAAGCTGCCAAGCCTTCTATAGCACTGAGAAACCAAGATCTTTCGGGACCCTCCAGGATGTGAATCTTAGAGAGAAAGGGGTGGGAATCTTCCTCCACACTGGCTTGCTTCTGTTTTAGTGAGTGTGAGGTTCTCATTTCACAAGATGAAAAAAAAAGAGAAGACACTGAAAAGTTCAATCTGTACAGTCAGACTTCACATTCTTGTTTTCCATGCTGAAAAAAAAAAAAAAGAAAAAAAAAAAAAAGAAACCAGATCTGAGGAAGAATCTGTGTGCCCAAAACATGAATAAAGCTTTCTTTTTCTTACAGTTGCTGCAATAATTGTTTGACAGTCTCTCCCTAAAAATCCTGCCTCTTATATAACTTCGGGTGATCACAAACTACAATGCTACTACTACAAAAAGCATTTTGCCAATTATTTCACCATTAGTGCCTCTTTCTCCTCAGAGGCACCAGGACAGATGCTGCCTATTAATTTTTCATTAATTTCAATTCTTTCTTGACATATCAAATTTATCCATTAGGTGTTTTTTAACTTGGCAGATAGAAATACATAACTAATTCTCAGAAGAATTAAAAAAAATACAGTTTGCGTTTTGGTTTGGGTTGGGTTTTTTTTGTGATTACTATTTCTAAAGTTTGTTTCTTACTCTCAAAAATAGAAAAATACAACAAGAAACTAAAAGCTAGGAACAGCCAAATGCACTCTGCCTGAAGCTGAGTGACTCCACTTCGATGGAAGCAGGAAAGGTCCCTACAGACATGAAAAGTGAGAGCAAGGTTTTAACTCTACAAAATTTCCCACGTCTTGCCCCAAAACTTGACACCACTTGCCAGTGACCCAGAGGTAAGATAACTGCTACAGAGCGGAATGTTAATAGAACTTCTAATTCTGTATAGGTGCTAAACTATGTAGCCGTGATTGCTTAAACATGGATTACACAACCTAAAATTCATTGATTGACAGAGAAACCACAGAGGGTGCCTATGTAGAAACAAATTAATTTCATCTGCCTTATTATTTTTGTATCTAAACCAACATCAACAGATTTGAAAGAAACTGTACAGTCCTCATTTTTTTTGTTATTTTCTATATGCTACAGTAAGAGAAATAATCTATATGAATAAACTGCCATGCGTTAAAAACCAACCCACATCAGCTTTCACAGAAATGCAGTCTACCCGAAAAAAAACCAAAACTTTGGATATAAAACCTTCCAATTAAGGACCAGTTCTCATATACGATGTGTATCCATAGCTCCCATGACTTTCCTAAAATGTGTTCAGATTAGATGGGTATTCTTTTGACTCACTGACTTGCCATATTTAAATTTGATAGGCATGATTGGCTGGAGACAGCCATCATGAGCAGATTTAGTTTTTTCTTTCAAGAAGAACACTTTGAAGTGCTGTTAATAAATTGGCCATTTAGAAATCTGCATTTCAGAAACAGCGTAAATAATTAGCCATCCCTTTTAGCATTCTCCCACTGTTACCATCCATGTAACTTCTGATACATAATCAAGAATAAACCACTGAACTACAAAGTGTAATTAAAGTTACATTAACTTTCCATGCTATATGCTACAGAATAAAGATTCAGTTACAGGGAAAAAAGCCTAAGTCAACCAGAGCTAAGCCATCCTGGTCCATTCCAGCTGAAAGGGAAATAAATGGGGACACTCCACACCCACACAGGGCAGTTTCTGAGCTCATTTTTAAACACTTCACAGTTCTATATATAGAAGACTTCCAGCAAAAAGAATTTTATGGTGTGATGGAAGGAAGGAGCTTTACTAAGTATTCCTGCTATTCAGATATCATTAGGGACTGTACCATAGAGCTTGCACAACCCCCCTCTGAGATCAAGGACCTATAATGATAGCTGCTGTGTAAAGAAAAAGCCTGTATCTTAAGGAGCTTATCGCCTAAGTAGACAGACTATAATCAGTATGGTGTGAACCCAGTCTGCACAGCATTTAAGCTATTTTATTTCTTTAAAAGCTACATTACCCATGAAAAAGACGTGGGTGTGAAACTGCACCTGAATCTCAGTGTCCAGTCCATTATTCATGTGCTGTCTCAGTTTGTAGCACACAGTACAAAACATAACTTTGTCCTGTAAGCCTCAATTACCCTGAAATTATAAATTCCTTCTATGCTGCTTATTTCCTGCAGTGAATGATACCATATTCCATAATCGGACCTAATACAAGTCTGTGCACTAAGCAGTTCAGGGCAGACTTACAAAAGAACTCACAGTTGCTGAAAATGAAGAAAATTCACAACTGCTCATATCCATAATCTTTGTGCTACCAGGGAATAATTTGATCCTTAAACAGTAATTACAATTTTGGAGCATGAACTTAGATGACTTGCTATAACTTTATTATTTACATAAATATGGCACGGCTGGTAAACTGTACATACGTGTAATGAAATATGGTACTAATCTCTCCATCCCAAAAGGTCACCAAGCAGCCATGCCAGTGGCTTTTATGCCATTTGGAGAGATTTGTTTACATAAAAACTCAACTATGGCAATGGTACAGCATATTCAATGTGCTTACTGTAAGCTTTTATCCAGGTACAGACTGCTAATAGGAGCCACATGCTGGCCCCACGCTGATTATTTATCAAATCCAGGAGATATCAGCCATAAATCAAGACTAGTTCATCACTCTGGTCAGCTCCTCAATGTCCCTACCAGACCATATGAAATGTCAAGAGATTATCACAGTATGTTAGAGATTGGAAGGGACCTCAAAAGATCATCTAGTCCAATCCCCCAACTGATGAACTATCATTCATCATGGCTTCATTCAGTAATGACTCTCCATGTCAGATCAGAGGAATGTGAAAGATTAGTAATACATTTAGCCACCAATAGCCAAGGTTCTGCATAACTCTTCATCTGCCTTTAAAAAACGAGAGTAGGCCACCACACCGAATGGTGGTGTGACCTCAGTTCACATGGCAGTCACTGAACGAGAGGAGTGGAGCCAACCATAATTCTGACATTTCTCAGATGAAAAAGGATTGTTCAGTGTTTTAACTTCAGTTGTGCAGGGCAAAATTGTTCAGCAATCAGGATTACATTTTGCAATCCTTGCTTACACTGAAAAAGGCTTCATCTTACACATACTACATCAAGATACTTCATTGGTGATATGCTAAAAATAAAGAGCCAAGAGCTGTAGTTTTAGGTTTTCCATAGATACTGTGTTGATTCTGTCTGTATGATCCATGACAAATTAGGTTCAGCAAATTCTGCACCTAAATCTCAAAATCCCAATCTCAAAAGAGCAACCACCTACCATGCACAATTTAGTAAAACATTCTTTTTATGTTGATTTATATATAGAGCAGTGGGTTGGATGGTCTTAAAACATTTAATTTTAGGCTTTTGATAAGTTCATGTACCAAATTATTTAAGTGCCAGAAAAAAATGATTCAGAATTTCATCTGGTATGATGCTCCCGCTGTATGTGATAAACAACTGTAGAATACAATTTTAACTCCAGACTTCACTCTTTAAAGGCAACATTAAAGAAAAATAAACAATGAGACATCAGATCAGCCTATATTCAGTTCTTCACAGTCATGTATTTTCAGAAGTACTGTGTAGAGTGTTTTCTCATCATATAAACAAGCGTGGCATTGGGGTGAGGGCATCTAACTATAAGGCAGCAAATGAGAGGAGTATTTGCAACTTGGGCCTCCCACTTCCTGGGCAAGGGATCTACTCAGTAGGCTATTACATATAGATATTATAGGCTAGTGTGCATATATATATAAGCACATACACATGTATACGTATACACTATATAAATGCCTCCCTTTGTTAGGCATCTTATAAAAGGCAAAGCACATCACCTGTATCCCAAGCAGCTATGCAAAGAGGTGGCCCCTGCCTCTTGACTGTCTACTAGCATCGTACCTTCAGGAGAACAGCAGGTTTCAGCCGCAGAAAGATAAGCTGAGGGCAGCAAAGGTACCTCCCATCCTGCACCACACAGGGTGTTGCGGATAATTCTCTGAGGTTCCTAAGCCTCCCTTCACAAATGCAGATGGTAAATACGGGCCTGTGAACTTTGTTCTCAAGGACCAGTAGACCCAAGACAATAAAACAGAGTACTGCCAAACTCCCTTCACAAGAAGAAAGCAGGGAAATAAGAACAATCGGCCATTTTCCAGCAGGGATCTGCTGAGGCAATTTTGCATCTTATCTGAAAAGTCACAAGAAAACAACCCATACTATCTGAAGCCCCAGTTATTTATAGTTTACGTTTACTCGCTGCTCAGTAGAATAAATGTGCAGAGTACTACTGTGGTAAGACATAAAAACATTACTAGTTATACTGACATGTGCTCTAGTAAAAACTTTACAAATGGAAATACTGCTGCTAAATTTCTTTTACTCACATTTCTAAGCCACTGTATCCCTATCTGCCACATCATTGGCAATGCCCTAATCATCTCCTCGATAGTCTCCTTGTTAAATTGCTTTTTATGGATTAAATAACTTTTCCAGCAAATCACATCCTTTCAGTATGTAAACCATGCAAAGGAAGCCAAAGGGGAGTGGTGTGCAGATTACATGAAGGAGCAGCTTTAGATTCACACTCTCACCTCCTGCCACTGCATCCAGTATCTGACCAGCCTTCTTCCCACCTCTCCCTGCAGCACAACTCTCCATCCCCAACCCTCTCTGCCCTTTGCAAATCCCCACTGTTCTTCACATCTCCCTCCCCACTGTCTCCCTCCCTATATTCATCTGACCATTACTTGCATTTGACTCTCATTCGACCACATTTTCTCTTCATCTCTACAGTCCAACCTTAATGCCCCTTCTGCCCATTATTACTCCCCCATGCACAGCAGACCCACCTACTTATTCTCTGAACTACTATTCTCCCTCACGTCCTCTTCTGTATTAGTTGATCTTGATGTGCTTGGCCATGGGAAGATAATCTAGACAGTAATCTAGAAATGGCTGATCACCAAACTGGCCACCCAGAAGGCATATCTATGTGAGCTATCAGATCAGATCAC